AATATTTTTCTTGAAAATAAATTACCAATAAGAAAATGTAAACAAAAAGTGGTAATTCGCAAAATTTTGAAACATAAAAATTAATCAACACCATTTTTACCCGAATTCGCAAAATAGAATTGACATAAAAATTTCCAGATTTACGGTATGTTAAAACATCCTCAGGTAAAATAGATTTAAGTTTGTTCAAATCATGACCCCTGGGCGTACTGGGCAGGGTACAGGGAATCCAAATTTTAAATATAGAAATGTGTTAAAAAAAAAAAAAAATTCAATCTTCTTTTCAGTCATGGCAAAGCCATGATTAGTCATATTCACATGGAAGGATTCTGAGGTAGTGTACATTTAAGTCTTTTCAAATCATGACCCCTAGGGGTTGGGTGGGGTCACAACAGGGTATCCAAGTTTTAATAGAAATATACAGGAAATTTCTTTGAAAAACCTTCTTCTCAAAAATGGCAATGCCATGATTAGTCATATGTATATGGAAGCATTTTCAGGTAGTGTAGATTTAAGTTTGTTCAAGTCATGACCCCTTGGGGGTAGGGCGGAGCCACAATGTAGGTTCAAATGTAAAGGGTAATAAAGACACAGATGGTTAAAAAAGTAGGCAAGCATCCTTAGTTAGTGTAGGCAATTCAAGTTTGTTCAAATCATACCTTCTTCCCTTTCAGGATTGGTTTGGAGCACTTTTGGGTTTAAACTTTTCTATTAAAAACATTTCATTTTTTTCACGGCCACAGTGCTCAGATGAGTGATGTAGCCCATGGGCCTCTTGTATTAATATAAAAAGGTCCCAGGTAGAAGTAGCTGCAAGTGTTTTAGAAACAAGACCATTGGGGAAGAGTGGGACATTTATTCTAGATATTCATTTTTCATACAAAGATAACTAATGACCTAATGGTGTTATACACATGCTTCACATGTATTAAAACCAATATCATTTGGTCGGGACACATTCAGGATCATGTTAAGTAAAATTAACTAGAAAACTGACCAGTCAGCAAGGGCCCCGCCATGGGGTAGAATTAAAAGGGTGCAGCTTACAGAATGATTAATAAATGTACAAAGAAAAAGCAACAGCAACTGTATTCTTAAAATTTCAACATAATTCCTGAATATTCAAAAATCTGAAAATAATATTCTTGTATTTACATTAGGCAGTAAAGAACAACTTAACATTGAATTTATATTTAAACAATTATAATGAATCTTGTGTTATATAAAATGCCAGCCTTCAATGAATGCAAATATCATGAAGGCTTGACCTTAACTTCAAACAAACAGCAGTTGCAGACAAAGGTTTTCATTAATCTTAAAGTGACAGATAAAGAGAAGCCTACTAAATTTTCTGCAGCAGGCTAGATAATTAATCCCAAGGGATTAATTGTACCTCTCTCATCATTTTCTTCTAAAGTTACAATAAGAACTTTTTCAGTATTAATGATAGAATGGGATTTTTATACAACTACATTAAAAATTAAAAACATTCTTGAATTAATATGTTTTTAAAAAAAAAAGGAAAAAGTGAAAAAAAGTACCCTGGTAAATCAAAAAATTTTCTTTAATCTATTTCTTTTTTTAGGATTCAATGAAATCATAACTATCAAACAAAAATAAATAATAAAAATTTATTTTTAAATCCACATTTCAGAGTGTTCATAGCATTCCAAATTGATTTAACTTCAAAACAAACTTCATTTGCAGACAGAGGTGGTAATTAATCTCAATGTGACAGATAAAGATAATGCTCTGGATTTTCTTCAGGAGGAAAGCTAATTAATCCCATGGGACTCCTAGAAGCATTCAGTTTACTGAATGGGAACATCTTCAGCAGTTATCTCTCTTTGCCAGTGCATTCTTATATAAAGTTAAGGAATCTACCCCACCACCCCAGCTCCAAACCAAGGGACATAGAGAACCAAACTTAGCATCAAAATATGTATTTTTGCCTACTGAACTACCGTACCAAATTTGATCTTAATTGGGCAACCATAAAAAAAGTTGCCCGTTCATTATTATGCATAGTTAAGGAATCTACCCCACCACCCCAGCTCCAAACTAGGAGACATAGAGAATCAAACTTAGCATCAAAATATGTATTTCTGCCTATTAAACTACCATACCAAATTTAAACTTGATTGGGCAACCATAAAAAAAGTTATTAGAAAAAAACAGAAAATTTGTGGACGGAAGAGTGACAGACGGACAGACAGACAGACAGACGGACGGACAGACAGAGTGATTACTATAGGGCACCCGCAAATCCTTGCAGGGCCCTAATAATTTTGCTCTGACCATATCATGTTATGGAGAAATATTTGAAGTTCAAACTTGACAACTTGAGAATGTGTCAAACTTGATTCAAGGTGATTTTAGGAGGTTGATTGATTGATTTATGTTGTTTAACATCCCTCTGGAGAATTTTTCACTTATATGGAGATGCCACCACTTGCAAGTGGAGGGCTACAATTTTTTTTCCTATACTTGGCACTCAGGGCCATTGAGCAGTGAGGGATCTTTTTCTTGCCAACAACTACTGCGTTTATACGGTCTCATCCTAAGGATCAGTCTCCACATCCCGCAGTGGGATTTGAACCCGCAACATAAGGATTTACTCCTTACTTTGCAACTCTAGAGCAGACGCTCTAACCACTGCGCCGCGCGGGCGACTTTTAGGAAGCTAGGAGGTTGAAGCTTATTATGATCAGAGTGAAAAATTTCTTTAATTTGTGTCTTTAATAAATTTGATACTTCACATAAACTGGTTAAGACCTAAAGGTAAATTGTCTTGATCTTGATTTAAGATCATTTGAACATGTTCATGGTCAGTGTTAAAGTTTAGTCAATATCTTTGTAATAGAGAAACAGTGGATTAAAACCTGACACAATTATATTTTGTCTTGAAAGTGCATCAGTGTCACTGATGATGACAGAATAAAGTAAACTTCATGTTAAGGCCATAAGTCTCTAATTGATAAGTATTGGATGTTGATACATGAAACAAAAATAAATTGTGAGAAAGGTATGTCATATCCTTTAATGACTCATAGTCATTCAAACAATTTAAGAGGAATTGCAGCAAGGATGATAAAATTTTGTTGGCACATTTACGTTACCTCTAGTTAATTTATGATGGGGGTGGCCACAATAAATGATAAAATTTAGACCATATCTTTCAAAGAATGGTTGGTTGTCCTCTCCTGACCGAAACGCTGAAAATGGTGCAAATCAAAACTTTTTAAAAAATTTTGATAGGTACACAATCACCAAAGATCTTTTTTCAGAAATTCACAGGGCCAAAAAAGGCCATAAGTGAACCTTGTTCTCTATGACTTTTTAGGTCACCTGAGTAACTCAGTAACCTATTGCTATCCGTTTAGGTCGCCTGAGTAACTCAGGTGACCTATTGCTATCCGTTTTCATCCGTCGTCGTTTGTCGTGCGTCGTGTCTGTTAACATTTGAAATTTTCTGCTTCTTCTCTGAAACCACTAAACCAATTTCAACCAAATTTAGTATACAGCATTGGTGAAGGGGAACAAAAATTGTGAATTTCATGGACCCTGCCCCCCTGGGGCCCTGGGGGTGGGGCAAAAACCACTTAAATTATTGCAATCTTTTAAAATCTTTTTCTTTACTCCTGGACATCAAGCAGGCAAACTGTTGTTATGAATGTAATGAACATTGAGTCCTCTACTTAAATTGTGAAATTCATGGCCCCAGGGTCAGGAGTTCTAGTGCTAGGGCAGGGCTATATAGATTATATAGTGAAAATGCATGATTTCCTTGAAAATATTATTCTCTGCTCCTAGGTATTAGATAAACTAACCAAGCACTTAGTTATGATGAGCAAGAGTGTCTTTTCCAAAATTGTAAATTTTGTGACCCCAGGGTCAGGGGCTCTGGTGTTAGGGCGGGGTTGTATTGGTTATGTAGTGAAAATGCATAAATTCTTTGAAAATCTTCTTCTCTACTTCTGGGTATTAGATAAACTTATGTAATTAAATAGTTATGTTGATCAAGAGTGTGCCTCTTTCAAAATTGTGAATTTTGTGACCCCAGGGTCAGGGGTTATGGTGTTAGGGAGGGGCTCTATTGGTTATATAGTGAAAGTGCAATTTTTTCTTTGAAAATCTTCTTCTCTACTTCTGGGTATTCAATAAACTTACTAAGTACTTAGTTATGATGAGCAAGAGTGCCTCTTTCAAAATTGTGAATTTTGTGGCCCCAGGGTCAGGGGTTCTGATGTTAGGGTGGGGCCCTATTGATTATATAGTGAAAATGCATTTATTCTTTGGAAATCTTCTTCTCTGCTCCTGGGTATTAAATAAACTAACCAAGCACATAGTTATGATGAGCAAGAGTGCCTCTTTCAAAATTGTGAATTTTATGACCCAAGGGTCAGGGGTTCTGGTGTTAGGGCGGGGCTCTATTGGTTATATAGTGAAAATGCATTTATTCTTTGAAATTCTTTCCTTTGCTTCTGTGTTTATGCCTATGATCCAAATATTTTGGTTTAAATCCGATATCATCTACTTGTTTGTCTCTGCGTCTGTCCGTTTCATGCATGACAAATCTTAGTAGTAGTTTTCTCATTAGCTATTCATAGAAGATGCTTGAAATTTTATTACCAACTTTGTTGAGGCATGCCATATAGTGGGTTTAATTTTGATATGAATCTGATGCCAACTTCATCTGCCTGTAATTGAACTTGTGTAAACAGTATATCTACATGATAGTGATAGATCAGAGCGGGGGTATTACTAGTGAGCATTGGCTCACAGATTTCTTGTTTTCATTGTACATACGCCATACATGGCTTTAATTTGAGTATTTTAGTAATTTGAATAAGGAGCTTTAAAACGTAAAAAAAAATTTCAGAAAGCTTTTCTTGTGTGTTCCAGTGTTTGAACTTAACTGTAGGTTATGATGACCTACTTTTGGAATTTTAAAGCTTTATCTAAATATGCGGGATACCCAAAGTGTTTGACTAGTAGTGATGATTTGTAAGATTTATAAGAAAAGCAATGCAAGGGCCCTGAGCCTCTTGTTAATTCTGAAGGTAAATACAAATTATGTGATGTAAGTATAGTGCTATTATTAAATTGTCAGTGTTAACTTCATTTAATGAAATGGTGGTGTCTGACTCTATTAGATGTGTTTCATGTGCCTGTATACATTTCAAATACTAACATTATGTAGTTTAAAGAATAGGATTTCTTGTGTTTTGTAGATGGGCAAGAAAAAGGGCATGTCTGCTAGCGTGAAGCGCCAAAGAGACAAGCTACGAAAGAGAGAGATGAGGCAGCGGCAGCTCCTTTCATCCACAGATGATCCACAAGATGGTTCGATGCTCGAGTCTGCTGTCCCCTGCGGGACAGTAGAAGGAGCTGTTTCAGCTCCCCCTGGTAATTTTCCAGGGCAAGGTTCTATAGGGTTTCCGCCTATTGAGGAAAAACCCTTGGCCAGAATGCAGGCCTCTCTTCGCGAGAAAATGCATTCAAATGCCCTGAGTATCGCATCCTCTCAGGGAAGTCGTCTGTGTGCCCGAAACGGAGGCATGGCACCGTCCCCTGACTCCCCACCGTGGGTTTGTACTCCACCGAGAGTACCTGAGCCGGACACCGTGCACGTGTCTGGCTCAGCAGGTCAGGCGCAGCTGGATATGTCATCCTCTCAGGGGGATGAGTCCAGCAGGATACTAAAAGATGCAATGGATTTTGAAACGGATTTTAAAACGGATTTTAAAACGGATATTGAAACGGATATTGAAATGAATATTGAAACAAATATGAGAATGGATACTGATACAAATATGAGAATGAATACTGATACAAATATGAGAATGGATACTGATACAAATATGAGAACAAATACTGATACAAATATGAGAATGGATACTGATACAAATATGAGAATGGATACTGATACAAATGTGAAAATGAATACTGATGAAAATATGAAAATGAATACTGAAAGAAATGTCATAAATGTCCAAGAACAAAATGAGTGCATAAATGATGACTATATTGAAAATGACTCAAGTTTCAGATTTGAGAGACAATACACTGGCAAATTGATTGATGCTGAATTTCCAAGTGCAAGTGAAAGCAGACAACAAGCAGACATCAAGAAATCTATCCAAGGTTCTTTTCATCAGGGTAACTTAATGTTTGGTGAGAATGCGGGTACACAGTGTGTAGCAAACTCCTTAGTAGCTTTAGCATACCATAAGTTAAAGAATTCTAAACACTGGCAAGCAACAGATATGGACAATGTGTTGGTAATGGGGGATGAGTTGTACACTTTCTTGCAGCGTAGTTCTTGTGTAAATAGCAGATACCTTTTGGTTAATGAGTTACCACAGTTTTTTGAATGCTTTAATACAGTGTATGAGTTGAAAGCAGATGAATCGTTATGCAGTTTGATAAATTTATCAGATACTGAACCAAACTATGATGACTTTCATGCATATTTCCTTTTAGATGCTTTGCATATTGCCCTATCTGAAACTGATGGATGTTTTGTGTGTTTTAGGGGAAATACTTTTTTGATTGGGAAAACGAATGATCAATTTTTCACGTTTGATTCTCACTCCAGGACTGCTGAAGGATATATGAGTGTGAATGGATGCAGTACAAGGATACTTCATGAATCAATTGAAGATGTTTACAACCATGTTCTTTCATTAGCACTGTCAATGGGATATTCTGAAATGATTGACTGTGAAATAACAGGTGTGAAATGTTCTATTAGGAAAATTGAGGCAGATAAGAAACAAAATGGTATGCATTCTAGTTCAAATCTTCAATTAGTCCCTGATGATGATGTTGAAGTTGTTTCAACAGAAAGTCACAAAATTAGCTTTAGGCCACTCTCTGCTGATAAGAAAATTGATCTTTGTGAAACTTTAGGGATATCATTGTCAAATTATGAAGAAGTGAGGGAACCAACCGTCTTTATCCAGGAAGCAGAAGGACCTGAAAATTGTGTAAGAATTCAGGGGGATGGAAATTGTTTTTTTCGAGCCATTTCATTTTGTTTGAGTGGAGTTGAGGACCATCATTATGATGTACGTTCAGCAATATGCCAACATCTCCTTGACAACTCAAGTTTGTTCAAAACCTTTTTAAGGTGTGGTGAAAATTCCGTTGAAAATCATATTGCAATGAGAAATATGACTCAAGAAGGTGCATGGGCAACAGAAGTAGAAATTCTTGCTCTCTCTCATCTTTTAAAAACTGATGTGCACACATATACACAGAATCATTGGGTTACGTATTCTGCACGCATGGTAGATCCCACAACAAATTTGCAAAGCTTGGAAGCAATATATCTTTTTCATGAGAATGAGAATCATTATAGTGCTGTGTTATCAGTTTTTGGAAAGCAAACACCTTGTTGCAAAAAGACAGAATCAATCATTATAGGGCAGAAAGAATTCAAAAAAAGAAATGTAAATCGTAATCGTATGAGAGAAAAGCGTAATGTCATGTCATCAGAAAAAATCGACAATGAAAGTAGTAAGAGATATAAAAAAAAAAAACTAAAATTATGACTGAACAGAGTGGAAAGAAAGTTAAAGGTTTTTGTGGCGTTGATAAGAAATTGAGAGCAGCAAAACTAAAGTACTGGACAGATCGAGCATTTAGATTAAGAGCAATATCACAGAGAAAAGAAAGATACAGAAGTAATGAAGTCTACAATGCAAAGTCAAAAAAAAAGAAGTGTTGAAAAGTATGCTTTAGACCTAAGACACAAGTTGAGTCTTAAAGAAGCAAGCAGAAGGAAATATGCAACAAATGAAGCCCATAGAAAGCATAAGATGAGAAGAAGTACTGAGAAATATAAATCAAATATTTTACACAGAGAAACTGTGAAACAAAAAAGTGCAGAAAAGTATAAGAAAGACCAAATACATAGAGCAGATGTTAAAAAAAGAAGTACAGAAAAGTACAAGAAAGATGAAGAACATCGAGCAGATGTTAAAAGAAGAAGTACAGACAAGTACAAGAAAGATGGAGAACATCGAGCAGACGTTAAAAGAAGAAGTACAGACAAGTACAAGAAAGATGGAAAACATCGAGCAGACGTTAAAAGAAGAAGTACAGACAAGTACAAGAAAGATGAAGATCATAGGTATATGCTGAAGGCAGCTAGTAAGGTAAAATACCACTGTAGTGCTGATGGAAAGAAACGCAAGAAGGAAAATGTGCTTAAACAGAGACAAGCAATGAAAGTGAAGCTAGAGGATGAAGATGAAGTTGTCAAATTATTTAAGGAAAATGTAAGGAATGGGCCAGAATACACTTGTTGCTGTTGTCATCGTTTATTGTTTGAAAATCAAGTTCAAGGATGTACATTTGAAATGTATGAGAAAAACCAGAAAGCAATGGAAATTGCAAAGATATGCATCAATAACACATATGTTCATGAGTGCACAATGTCTTGTTCAACGCAATGCAAAAAATCATCATTATGGATCTGTTTTACATGTCATAGGAAAATACTTAGTGGTAAAATTCCAGGAGAAGCAGCTGCAAATAAAATGACTCTTGAAGAAATTCCACATCAACTAAGTAATTTAAACAGTTTAGAGCAACATCTCATTGCTTTACATATTCCCTTTATGAAAGTGATGTCTCTCCCACAAGGTGGTCAAAGAAATGTACATGGGCCTGTTGTATGTGTACCTTCAAACATGAGAAAAGCAACAAGCTTACCGCGAAATGAAAGTGAAAATATGTTGCTACGTGTGAAGCTGAAACGGAAGTTATCTTATAAGGGTTACTTTGAATATCAGTTTGTGAATTCAGAACATATACATACAGCACTGGACTACTTGAAGAAAAACAACAGATGGTATCAAGATGTTGTGATCAATTGTACATGGAAACAAAACTGTGAGGAAGGTGATTTGATTTTGAATGGTTCTAATGAATGTGAAGAAGAGGAATTAAGATCGGAACAGACAGAAAGTCAAGAGGTGGTTTCAGACACATGCTTACAACCTGTGGATATTGCACAAGAGGTCCTTGATCACTACTTTGATGATGTTTACAATATAGCTCCAGGGGAAGGACAAAATCCTGTACGTATGTTGCAAGAAGAAGGGAATGAAGCAAAGACATTTCCACATTTATTTCCAAGCGGAAATTTTTCTTGGAATGAAAATAGAGAGGAAAAGATAACCCTTGCCAGATATTTTAACAACAGACTTATGAACACTGATAATAGATTTGCAAAAGACACAAATTACATCTTCTTCTCACAGTACATGTCTGAATTAAACCAAGTGATTGAGAAAACACAAATTTCAGTGCGCAAGTCAGTATCACAACTTAATGGTGGAAAATCTGTAACATCAGATATGTTGCAAGACCCAGAAGTACTCTCTAATCTGCTGAGGAACAATGAGGCTTTAAGGTTTATGCAGCCAATTCGAGGAACACCTGCATACTGGTCAGCAACACAGAAAGACTTATTTGCTATGCTTCGACAACTTGGTATTCCTACATGGTTCTGCTCTTTTTCTGCAGCTGAATTCAGGTGGAATGATATTGTGGGATCAATATTACGTCATGAAAATGATACAACAGACCCTTCTGATTTAGACTGGGCAGAAAAAAGTGAAATTTTGAGAAAAAATCCAGTGACCGTAGCCAGAATGTTTGAAAATAGATTCCATATTTTCCAGAGGGATGTAATATTGTCTCCATCAAACCCAATAGGAAATGTCATTGATTATTTTATCAGAGTTGAATTTCAGCAAAGAGGTTCCCCACACATGCATTGCTTGTACTGGGTTGAAAATGCACCGAAATTCAACATAGATAGCGATGAGACAGTTTGTGATTTTATTGATAGGTATGTCACATGTGCTTTGCCTACTGATAATGAGAACCCAGAACTTCGACAAATCGTCTTAGCTGTACAACAACATAGCAAGAGTCACTCAAAGTCATGCAGAAAAAAAGGAACAGAGTGCAGATTCAATTTTCCAAGACCACCATCAGAGAAAACCTTTATAACAAAACAATGTGAGGAAGAGGATGACATTTCTGATGATGATGGGATATTGAACAAATCTCAGGCAAAGGATATTTTGTTGAGTGTTTGGAATGAAGTATTGGATGATGTGAATGCACTTAAGACAACTGAAGAAATATTCAGCAACATCCACCTTACACAAGACGTATATGAGATAGCACACAAGTTGTTGTCGACAAGAACAAGTACCATATTAAGAAGAAATCCTAATGAAATGTGGACAAATCAGTACAATCCATGCCTTCTCAGATGTTGGGATGCAAACATGGACATACAATATGTTCTAGACCCCTTTAGCTGCATCGTGTACATTATATCATATATATCAAAGTCAGAAAGAGAAATGGGAATGCTTTTAAAGCAAACACAAGTAGAGGCAATAGAAGGCAATTTAAGTGCCCGTCAAACAATGAGAACAATAGGATCAGCATATCTTAATCAGAGGGAGGTCAGTGCCCAAGAAGCAGTTTACAGAGTCTGTAATCTGAGAATGAAGGAGAGTTCAAGGAAAGTGGTTTTTGTTCCTGTTGGTGAAAATCCCACTCGTTTAAGTAAACCTCTTTCTCAAATGCAAAACAAAGAGAGAAAGGAGTGCAATGATGAAAACTTTGAATGTGATGATGATGAAGACATATGGATGACAAATATTGTAGAGAGGTATGAAAATCGTCCTGACTTACATTTGTTTGATAAAATGTGTCTTGCAGAATTTTGTTCCTATTATAGAGTGCTTGCTAAATCTCAGATTCCTAAAGGAGAAAATGAAAATGTTTATGAATTGAAGAATGGAAAAGGGTACATTCAAAAAAGAACAAGGGGAAAACCAGCTGTTATCAGATATCCTAGATTCAATCCAGAAAACACACCAGAAAAATATTATCAATCAGTATTGCAGCTTTTTCTTCCATATGTCACACAAGATCAACTGAAACCACCTGGATTTGAATTTTACCAGACATTTTTTGAAACTGGATTTGTGAGGCTGAAATCTGAGATTCGTTTACAACCAGTAAAAACTTTGGTGGAAGGTAATCAGTCCAAATTCTCAAAAAATGAAGATGCTATTGATAATGCTCAAGAGGTTTTTGAACTTTATGGTGAACCTGAGGATGCGTGGGCAAAACTTTGTCCTGAAACAGAAATGAATAGAAAGGAGTGTTTAGATGAAAAAAAGGCGACTGAGAAATTAGAAGATAAAAAACCAGAAGTCACTCATGAAATTGAAAACAATTCTTCAGACTTGTTGTATCACATTACAGAGAATTCCAATTCAAGGCAAGAAATGCTTCCGCTTTTGAGAAGATTAAATGAAAAACAAAAGGAGGTCTTTTACATAGTTCGTGACTGGTGCTTGAAGAAAGTTAATGGAGAGAATATGGAACCATTGCATATCTTTGTCACAGGGGGTGCTGGAACAGGAAAAAGCCATTTGATCAAGGTTATACATTATGAAGCTTCTCGTATTCTTGAAAAATTACTTTCATCTCCAGATGATGTATCTGTTCTTCTCACATCTTTTACTGGCACCGCTGCATTTAATATACGGGGCAATACACTTCACCATGCTTTTTCTTTGCCAATAGCTCTACGAATTCCATATGAACCTCTGAATGAGCAAAACTTGAGTGCAATAAGATCCAAGTTAGAAAAATTGCAGATCTTGGTCATTGATGAAATATCTATGGTTCACAAGAGGCTTTTGTATTATATTCATGAGCGTCTTGTTCAAATTAAGAAGTGTAAAGAACCATTTGGTGGTGTATCTATCTTAGCAGTTGGAGATTTCTACCAACTTCCTCCAGTAAAGCAACGAAAAGCAGAGAGATTGTATAATGAAAATGAAGAATACCCAGTAGACTATTGGTTAGACTTTTTCAAAATGGTAGAGTTGGACGAAATAATGAGACAACGAGAAGATGCAAACTTTGCTTCAATTTTGAATTCGTTACGAATTCGGACAATAGAAGAACCCCTGTCACAAAAGGCTAAAGTGATGCTTTCAGAGTGTATAAGAGATGGGCCAGAGGACGTTCTGCATGTATATCCCACAAACGAAGAAGCAAATGAACATAACCTCAAGATTTTGAAGGAAAAGTGTGGAGATTTAATTGAAGTAAATGCTGAAGATTATCAAAAAGATAGAACGACAGGTAAGCTCACATTACGTGAAAAACCTTTCATTAGGACAAGAACAGATGGATTATCCTCTTCCCTGCTCATTTCTGTGAATGCTAGGGTGATGCTTACAAGAAACATAAATGTGGATGATGGACTTGTTAATGGTGCGATGGGACACATTTCTTCTATTGAGTTTGGAAAAGGTGAGCAGAGAAATAGAGTGGAAGGAATTGGTGTGATATTTGATAGCAAAGATACTGGAAGGAAGGAAGGAAAGTTTACGCCGCAAGGACATCTAGTCTATATTCAAAGAGTACAAGAAGACATCAGAGAAAAAAACACGAAAAATGTAGTTAGACGTCAATTTCCTTTAAAATTATCATGGGCTTGTACAGCACATAAAGTTCAAGGAATGACAACCAACAGTGTTGTAGTTAATTTAGATAGAACATTTGCTCCAGGACAGGCATATGTAGCTATTAGTAGAGTCACTTCTCAGAATGGCTTATTCATTGAGACAAGTAATGAAAATGCATTACAGAAGAAAATTTATGCTGATCAAGATGTGAAATCTGCCCTGAGTAAAATGCAGAAATTAATATCAAACCAAAATGATGCAAATATGATCAACTCTGATAATCACAAAACAATCATTTTATTCAATGTGCAGAGTTTAAGAGGTCATTTTCAAGACCTTCAATGTGACAGCAGATTTCTGAATACAAACTTTATATGTTTGACAGAGACATGGTTGAAAGGCAGTGAGAATGTGAAAGATTTTGAAATTCAAAACTTTGAATTTTGCCATGTTACAAGGGAACAATCTTATGATGAAAGTGTGGACAATTTTGTCAAGCTTTGCAAATCCAAAGGAGGTGGTGTTGGAATGTACAAGAAGAAAAATGAAAAAACTTTGATTCACGAGTTACCACAAAAAAATATAGAAGGAATGGCAGTAGAACTATGTGAGGAAAACACTGTACTTATAATTATTTATCGACCAAGTCAACTAAGTGTAAGAGTTTTTCTCGATGGCCTCCAAAAAGTTTTGGATTATTTCAAAGAACAGTTTTCCAAATGTATTATACTGGGTGACTTTAATGAAGATGCAAAATGCAAAGGACCTATACAAGAATTGATAGAGTCTAAAGGATTTCAGCAAAAAGTTAATTTTTCAACTACAGAGGGTGGTACAATTTTGGATCATGTTTATGTTCCAGAACTCATTCAAGCTGATGTACAATGCATGCCAGTTTATTTTAGCTATCACGAAGCAATTAAGCTTACTTTTGAATTGAAATGAGCTATATTCATTAACACCAGGAATTATACCAGGGAACAAGCAAATGTGCCCCCCCCCCTCCAAAAAAAAAGTAATTCAAATCTAGCCTCTGAAGCCAATTTGTGAATTTTCACTCATTGATGCATCATTTATGTCAATCTGGTTAAGATAACCAATAGATCTGAACCCATAACCTGGTATTTTTTCTGGAAAATAATTAATGTCAGCTCCAGCATCTGAAGCAAGTCAGATAGTGTGCATCCTTAGCTGTATCATTTAAGCAAGTTTGCTCAACTTAGGACTTATACCTACTTTAGAATGAGCCTGCTCCAAGAATTTAACCTTTACACTCAACCGGAAAATGTAGGTCACATCTAGCCTCTGAAGCAAGCTTTGTGGTGTGCTTCCTTAATGTGTCATTTATTAGTTTGGTCCACATAGGTCTCATATTCAGTTAAAAATGAGACGTGTACCCAAAACATTAGCCTGTTCAATCACCTGGAAAATGTAAGTCAAATCCTGTATCCAAAGCAAACTTGGTAGTATGCATCGTTACAGGCATCATCCTCGCAAGTTTGGTCAACATAGGGTTTCAAGTTACTTGGAAATGATATCTGCACCAAATGTATTATTGAACTTGAACCTGAACCAAAAGTGATATCCTGCTCCAAATATGTTAACCTGGTCAATGAAGGACACAGAAGTACTTAAGGACATATGCAAGATACCTTACGTATTGATAATTCTTCAAGATATTATAAATTTAAACTTATAATACCATAACATCTTCTTCAACAAAAAATCAGCATGTATTACCAGGAGTTTTGAAAAAATATCAAATTATAAAATTTTTTGCGTTATTCAAAGAAAAATGTACAAAAGTTAAAAACATAAATTCCATCTTTTTTCCATCAAAATTTATTTTAGAAGAGGTGTAAAAATACATATAGACATTAAAAGCATTGCATACAGGTCGATTTAGTTGAACTCTTCAACTCCAGGGAAGAACCCAACAAAGTTCAAACTGTTGCATATGACCATAAAGAAAACTGCATCAAAAACCTAAACCTGGGATGCCAATGCTTATTTCATATGCTCCCCAAACTTTGTGGAAGTGAGCATAAAAATTTCTTTACGCTAATATTTTAAGCTGTCAGGTATAATAAAGCTTGTCCACTTGGTTTATTTTAGCTCAGAGTAAAGGGTATGAAGATTTTCTTAGTGGACAATATATCTCATTTATTGAAAATTAAATTTAAAACAAATTCATGAATATTTCAAAGAATCACACACTTGCATTCAAAGGTTGTTTAATATTGACCACATTTAAACTGTCCTTAATTTTGAATGCCTTGAAAATTTTTCAGTTGGATATGTCGAGTCTAACACAAGATTATGAATTCACAAAGATTATCTACACTGTGTGATTATGGTGATCATGAAATAGTCTGTTATTGCCTGTGCACCATACTGTTGCTAGGAATGTTAGAATTGAAGCACACTTAAGTTATGCATACAGAATATAAATTAAAATTAAACTTTTGTCAACATTTTTTTAATTCGATCTCTTGGTTCTTGTGTTCCATAATAAATCAATATATCTTTCAAATTTCAAAATTTTATTAAAAATTAGGAGCAAGTGCCTTAATGGTCATCTTATTTTGTATCATAGTTGATAATCAAAATGAATGACTTTTCTCACAGCAAAGTACAGTGAACCAACTTTTATTTCACAAAATATCCGCGAAATAATTTTTTTAATTCCTATAATTAATCGCCGCGAACCATTCATTTTGCTAAGGATTTGTAGAGAATGTTTCCCCGGTCATGGAAATTAATACGTCGCAGATTGATTTTAAACCGAAGAATTGCGAATAAAAGATGATGCAAATAATAGCTGGTTTACAGTAATCAATCGAGTGCTAGCTTCGAACTCATAACCCTAGGGCCATGAATTTCAGAACTTATGGAAAGGCATGCCACACCTTTGTTAATCATAACCATACACCTTGTAAAACACCCAGGAACAGAATTAAAGAATTAAAGCATTTTCACTACAAGATCAGCCTAACCCTGTCACCAGATCCTCTTACCCTAGCTGGAGCCATGAATTTCACAAATTTGGAAGAGGCGCCTATGCTCATTTTAATGATGCACTTAGTTTATCTGTTATATATACAGGTGGAGAGATGATTCTTTTCTAATAAATTATTCATTTTCACTAAATTATCAATTTAGAGCCCAATAGCAATTTGAACACTGAACCATACGGCCTTGGATTTTACAAATTGGACACTGAACCATATGACCTTGAATTTTACAAATTGGTAGGAGTCTAAATGCATATTACAATCATGCCAGTAGTTTGACTGGTGCATGAAAAATAATTACAGACAAAAAGTGATAGCAATCGATCACCTGATTGACGCAAATGTCCTGTAAAGAAAGACAGCTACTATACACCCACTGAAGATTTAACACATAGGAATTAAAAACAACTGCATACATGTATACTATTTTTTGAAGAATTATAATGTACAAAAACAAAATATGTAATTAAGTCCAAATTTCCTGATTTTCTTAAAAATAATTATCTTGTTCGTGCTTCATACCCTGCCCAAAAATTTGTATTGTTCGTAGATTTTATTAAATCAATCTTTTATGTTATCTCCACATTTTTATCCTAATAATTAATACATGTACATAAAACGTTGACTTTATGAATATTTTAACTAAAAATATGTCCATAGAACATGAATATATTAGTAAAGGAACTGATGAAAATTTGTTTAAATATATGAAATTTGATCAGAATATCTTGAATAGTGATGCAGTTGAAGTGCTTTACATTAGTATGTTGCAGCATATGAAGTTTGCTCTAATTTCATTAAAGTGAGGTCAAGTTCAATGGAAATGCCAAGGTCAAATAATTGTAGATTCAGTTGAAAAGCTCTCATCAGTAAATATCAGCATATGAAGTTGAAAAAATATTACAAATGGTTTCTTTAAAACTGACTTTTAAAAACACAATTTGATAAAGAGGGTTCAAGGTCAAATAAAAGGTCAAGATCAAAATTGTTGATGCAGTTGAATTGCTTACATCTGTATGTATCAAATAATTATTTAGGATTCGTGATGTCAAAGCTCTGGTCAAAAATGTTGTATTGCAGTTTTATTAAATCTCTCCTTATGTATCAACATATGATTTGATAAAAATATACTAGAAATGTTTTTTAGAATACTTTAACACAGTTTGATAAAATGACTTAAACACAATTGATAAAAGTGAGGTCAAGGTCAAAGGAAGGGTCAACGTCAAAATTGTTGATTTAGTTGAATTGCTTACATCAGTATGTATAAGCATATGAAGTTTGGCATTAAGGGTCATTGATACTCTGATAAGAAAGATAACTCTTAATGACATAAATGTCTATTATTCCTTTATAGGTTTGCAGTTGAAAAGTCTCTTTTCTGTCCAATCAGCATATGAAGCTATGCTATAATTTTATTTAAAAAAATAGTTCTTTTGGAAAATCATTAAGATTCAACAACATTTTTTTTGAGTGAGCAGAGGGTTTATGAACCTTAATTTAGGAAATGTGAGTTAAGTTGATTTGCTTACATCAGTATGTATAAGCATATGAAGTTTGGCATTAATTTAAGAAATGTGAGGTCAAGGTGAAAGGAGAGGTCGAGGTCAAAATGCAGTTGCATATCTCTCAACAATATGTATCAACATATGAAGTTTGATAAAAAAAAGTATCTAGAATAATGTCTTTAATTAAAGCTGACTTAAACACAATTTAATAAAAGTGAGGTCAAGGTCAAATAAAAGGTCAAGATCAGAATTGTTGATGCAGTTGAATTGCTTACATCAGTATGTATCAGCGTATGAAGTTTGACAGTGATTTTGGAAAGGTGAGGTCAACGGTAAAAGGAAAGGTCAAGGTCAAAAATGTTGAAGAAGTTGAATTGCTCTCATTAATATGTAACAGCATCTAAAATTTGATAAAAATATCTCAAATGGTATCTTTAAAACTGAGCAAAAAACTAATTAAATATAAGTGAAATCAAGGTCAAAGGAAAGGTCAAGGTAAAAAATGTTGATGCAGTTAAATAGCTCTCATCAGTATGTATCATCTTGTGAAGTCTGATAACACCATCTTAAATGGTATGTTTAAAACTAAGCTAAACACTAATTTAAGAAAACTGAGGTTAAAGTCAAGGGAAAAATGTTGATGCAGTTGCATAGCTCTCATCAATATATCTATCAGCATATGAAGTTTGATAAAAATATCTTGGATAGTTAGCTTTGAACAGTGCTAAACACAAAAAGTGATGGAAGGACGGAAAACGGACATGACAAACACTATATGCCCCGGCCATATTCATGGCGGGGCATAAAAAGTGTACAACTGTAAACACATATACATGTATGTACTGTTCTGTGACTAAAATATTCATTCAGACATTATTTCACTTAACTTGAAGGATCAAATGTGTTAAACTAATAGTGTGGCCCCACCCTCACTCCAGGAGTCATGAATTGAACAAACTTCAATCTACATTACCTGAAGATGCTTCTATATATAAATATAACTAACCATGCCTTTGTTGTTCTTAAGAAGAATATTATTTATAAATATTTTTGTCCCCCGCTTTCGCGAAAGCGAGGGGACATTAAATCTCATTTGTCTGTCCGTCTGTCCGTCACTCTGTCAGTCTGTCCGTCTGTCCGTCCGTCACAAAAACTTTAACCTTGCCCATAACTTTGGATCTAGTGGAGCTATGACTTTCATATTTCACATATGTATTCCTTGTGATAAGACCTTTCTTTTGGTACCACCAAATTTGACCTTTTGACCTTGACCTCGGAGTTTGACCCACTTTTACATAAAAAATTTCATATTTTTACTTTGGCCATAACTTTTGAATCTTAGATACTAGGCCTCTCT